GGAAAGACAGCAATGCAGAAGTTGGTGCAGAAAAGGGATTTCTGGTTCATAATTATTTAAGTTTAAATTCACATAACCTCCTTCTCCAGGTAATTCAATTATCTGTGGTTCTAATAAATTCCAAAATATGTATGTCTCCAGCTTCTCAGGTAGGATAGCACAACACAGACTCAGCAGGCTTCTGTAGTCTGGCATATTACTTTGCTCGAATTTTTGGCTTCGTAGGCAGAAACCTTTAAATAGTAGGCAAAATGATGAGAAGTGAAGCATAAGTGTTTATTAGGCAGTTTCAAATGGTACAGCAGCGCTCCCACATCTTCCCACCCTCCAAATAAGGACTTGCCAAATACTGGCAGGCAGCATAAAGTAGGAACTTTTTGAGATCACCTATGGACTCTGAAGAGAAATGATGTAGGGCGAGTGGAGAGAAGGTACTGTTGTGACTATCTCCTCTATTGCGGACAAGGCTGGTGCATTTTTGTTCCATGGGATCATTCTGTATCGCCAATGTTTCCCTTTGGTACTCACTAAAATTAGAATAAGAAATGTTAATTAGTTGAATTCATTCATTTGCTGGATCAACGGATTTTTGCTGTTACTTCTTATATGTCAGGCCCTGCTTTTGTGGGTCTTGTGGTTTGGGTGGTAGGTAGACGCTGAATGAGTAAGTATACATGTGATTGGTATCACAAGGGAGGGAAGATTTGGTTGGCTCTTCGGAAACGGGGTGCTGTGTATGTTAAATAGCACAGCAGTAAGCCCTAAGAGCGTTTATTCGTTCATTCACTCAAGAGTCAACAAGGATTTCTGAACACAAGTGAATCTGCGCCCGAACTTACAGGGGCACCTGAAGATAGTCCCTGGTGCGTTTTGTAAACACTGACCTGGCTTCCTAGCTGGGGTCTAATCAACTGAGCCACCCAGGCGCCCCATCTAGCTGGGGTCTAAAGCATCTATACAAATGCAGTGGTGGTTATGAGAGAAGATTATTTTCTTTTCCTTTTTTTTTTTTAAAGACTTTTATTCATTTATCTGAGAGAGAGCGAAAGTGAGAGAGATCACAGAGGAAGAAGTTGAAGCAAACTCCTTGCTGAGCAGAGAGCCCGATGTGGGGCTTGATCCCAGGACCCTGAGATCATGACCTGAGCCGAAGGCAGATGCTTCACCGACTGAGCCACCCAGGCGTCCCAAGAGAGGATTATTTTCAGAAGTCATATTTCACTAATGACAGTAGTAATAATAACAGCTAAAATGTATTGAGCATGTTCTAGGTGCAGAGCACATGCTAAACCCTTTACATGGATATTCTATAACCCTCAGAATAACCCTAAGGTAGGTAAAATTAGTATCTCCATTTTACAGATGAACACCCTGAGGCTTAGAGACATAAGAAACTGGCCCAAGATCACGCATCTAGTAGGTAGTGTATTTGAGAGGTCATGGAGCCCACCACCATGTCAGGGGAACTTACCAGGAGTAAGGTTTCATTTTAAAATGAAGGCCAGGGACAGGAAATGAATCTGCATACTTAGCCAAACATGTTAAGAATGTGAAAATAACTCACTCCTAGTTTTTACAGTGTTTCAGAATAAATAATCTGAAGGAGCCTGTCCAAGCATGCAGCTTTTTGCACACATGCTTGCAAAGGAGAAGACAGTGTTCATTGCAGAGAATGTTCCTACATTTTACACCTGCCCTACTCCTGGTAATGACCTGTCCTGGTTTCTTTTCAAGGCCTGCAGCTGAGCAAACCACTTCACCTCCCAAGGGACAGGTGTCTGCCTACCACTTGGAGCAGGACAAGAGAAAGTGGCCCATAGCTGGTCTCAGGTAGACACGACCATTATGTTACACAAAGGCTGGAAGAAACCTAGAGCTTTTAAGCTTCTGTGTTTCGCCGTATCTGCGATCAACACACGTGCTCACCTTACCATCCACTCTCCCGAGCGTCCTATGTAAATGCAGAGGAAACTGGCCTTCACAGGAGCCTGGAGGCACCAGCAGGATCGGCTCCTCCTCTTCCTCCTCTTCCCGTTCATCATTGCTATTAACCATTTATTAAGCACCTACTGTGTGTCCAGCACTCTGCTAAGGATGTATGCATGTTCATGCCTCACAACAATCTTATGAGATAAACGAGGTAAAATTCTTGAACTCCTTTCTCAGATGACGAAGCAGGCTGTGAGGTTATTTAACTGCCTCAAGGTCCCACAATGAGGAGCAGTCTGGATTAAAACACGGATCTATTCAACTTCTGAGGATGCGCTCTTAACTGCAAAGCTACACGGCTTGCCTTCAAGGATTTACACTAAGGCATAGGATCAAGGAACAATGGACCAGATGTGTGGATCTAAGATAAGCCTGTATTTACATAAAGAGATAGGGCTGAGATTTAGAGGTTCTTAATCTGGGGTCCACAGACCTCTGAGTATCTAAAAATAGATTGCAGAGGCCTGTAACCCTCTAGAACAGGAGTCAGCAATTTTTTTCTTAAAGGACCAGATAGTAACTGTTTTAGGCTTTGCAGTCCCTGTGGTCTGTGTCGCAATCACTCATCTCTACTGTTGTAATGCAAAAACAGCCACAGACAATACAAAAGAATGGGCAAGGCTGTGTGCAATAAAACTTTATTTACAAAAATAGGCAGCTAGCCAGCAGGCTCTAAAATGGTGTGTGAATTCTATGTGTCTATGTGCATTTTCATTGTCATTAGGTGAAGATTCATAGTTTCCTTAGTTTCTCATGAAGATTCAAAATCCAAGACGGCTAAGAACCGGTGTGAATGGTCTCCAAGCCCATCCAAACCCAGACATTCCCAGATTCTCTGATTCTACATGTGTTTTAAATCAACTCTCTCTTAAAGACTCCCTCTCACTAGCAGGCTCATCTAAGGCAGATGAGCCTCTTAAGTGGATTGTAATCACCGTCCCCGTGGAGAAGGAAACAAAGAACATAATGGAATTTCCACCTTCCCTGGCTTACCTGGCCGGATGGTCCTGGCAGGAACACAAACACATTCCCCACTGGAATACAGTAGCTCAGTCCTGCCCCAGGCTCGTGTGAGCTTTGCTGAAGCTTCTTCTTCCCAGAGATCATATTCTATGTTCCACTGAGCCTTCTCCACTGAAAGCACTCAGTTGTCTTAACCACAGCGATGCGCAGTTTGGACTCGTGGAGTCAGCCAGGTCAGCCCAGGTACGGTGCGGAGGGCGGGACGTTGTTGGATGCGCTTGACTGACACATCTCCGCATCTGTTCAGGAACCCCCTCCCAAGAAAACCTAGTTCTTTCTCCTTGGATTCCCCAGCTTCTTGAGTTAGAGCAGCTTATCTACTGCCTGCAATGACACCAAGGCGGACCTTTACCCCGCCTCCCACTCCATGGGACTTGTCTGCTCCTAACTGGACTCTTTGGGTGGACACTGCTGATGATGGTCCCTTGTGTCCTGGTACCATGCATGCTTTGCGTGTATTTTTTAGGTTATTAGTGCCAAGATCCCCGAAAGTTTAGCCAGTTTTAAATTCTCGCGTCACTTCTGAAAATCAAAATAATGACTGTCCAGTCACCTCGAAGAAAAAGCCAGGTTGACTGCTTTAAATTTTCGGGGGGAAAAAAAGCGGTATATTAAAACAAGGAATCACAAATACTATGAAATCACAACGTGATTGCACTTCGATTCCAGGTTTCTGAGAATGGAGGATTGGGCCCGGAGGAAGAAGCAGAAGAAAAAGCAGAAGGGGAGAAGACAGGACAGAGGGCAGGAGAAGGGCACAGGGAACGACGAGCCCGACAGGTTCACAGAGGGAAGGACAGGTGCGCAGGGGTCCGCGCGCTTAGCCAACCGCGCCTGCGCTGAAACTCAGCGTCGCCAGGATGCAGCTCTTTGTCAGAGCCAGTGACCCCGGAGGAAGGAAATAAGGCAGCAAATGAAAATCACGGGAAGATCCATCATTCAGCCAGGACTTATGGAGACTTTATTCCGTATCAGACGCCTGTATCTATCACATCAGCGTTAGTGTTAGCTCTCTGAAATGAAGCCTCATGAGGGCCGTACCTCCAACTAATATTTTGGTTCGGCTTTGGTGACCACGTTCATCCAGCAGCGGTGTGGTGCCTTGTAAATAGAAATGGGTTATAGATGTGTGGGCTCCTCTTCTGGCATATTGTTATGTATATTATATATAAAGTATATACCCGCGCGCACACACACACACACACATATATATATGTATATGTACTTGGATGAGTATAAAATACCAGATAAATGTAAAATTGACCTTGTTCTTTTTACTTAACAAGGTAGTGGGTAGACGAGGGGGTGGGGATGATGGCATTTTGCACAGAAGGCTTGGTGACTCAAGGAACTGTCTTTTTTTCCCCCTCGGTAATATCTGGTCTGGGATTATTACTGCTTTCTCGATGTTTTTAGACATACTTCTCCCCTTCAGAAATGCCAAAGGTGAAAAATACTATTCCACTGTTATAATTTGTCAACCTTGCTTTCTGAGCAAGAAAGATCTGCATAGACAGTTTAGTAATTAAGCTTTTCAACACTGCATCATAAAGTTTTATTCTGGCGAAGGCTATATTTATCAGCTAACAAGTATTAAATCACCCCACCGCTCCAGCCGTTTCTCAGTTAAGTATGCTCCTTTCAAAACAGAGCAGCTTTCCTTGCCTGGCTTGATTTAATAAAAGTTCTTGTTTGCAAATACCACGGTGCTGTGGGGTCCTGCGGGCTCACATACATCCACCTTCGCAAGTGCTCCAGATGCTTGGCGACCCCGACTTCCCAGGGGCATCGGATGCCCTCGCCCTGGGTCTTTCAAGGCATCCTGGCCATCTGAGTTTCAGGGCCCTCTAGGATGGCCTCCAGCACAATATATTTTTCTTCCCGGTTCAATTTCTGAAGGGAAAGAGGTGAATGAAAATAAAGAACACAAGCAGTGGATACCATTTTATTTCCTTATTTGAGCGGCAGGCAATTGGCCTCTTCCTCACAGAGATGGATCTACGTGTAAAATGAGTTTTCAAAACGACTTAAATGGCGAAGTAACGATGATCTACATACTAAGCAGTTTGGAGCCTTTTCCCGTACGTGCCATAGATTTTTCAAAACAGATGCGGAATTATTAGGGAATTAGAAGGAGTAGATATTAATAGTCATCAGCAATGACTTAGACGCATCTTTTCTCTAAGTAACTCACCCCACCTTCATAAGTCCTTTTTTGCTCTTTTCTTTGGAGGATGCACGTTCATGAGACGAATACAACAATTGTTCTTAAGGCTTCAGGAGGTTATTAATCCAATGGCTCCAGAAGGGTATCAGTTAAACACAAGATAGTTAACACATTTGAATGTCTTTTCTGCCATGCTTCCAGGGTAAAACCCAGAGAAAGACAAATGTTAATTAAATATGGGCCAAAATGATGAAAGAAATCTCAATATCAGTCATCTCATCAAACCAGAAATCACACGCAGTTCCCCCTTCCTTTAGTGACAGGTAGTGGTTTAGAAGGCAGGGGATCAATTTCTGTCCAGCCAGCAAGTGACGGGAAGCAGGTGGGTCACTGAAGCATGTGGGTGATATGCTGAACCTCTAAGTTGGCAAATATTGAACTATTTTAAGTGCATCTATTTTCCAGTTCAGTAAATTTTCTTGTTGTATTAAATTCATTAAACTCGACACACTCTAAATGCCACGGGACATCCCAGGGACCACCTGAAGTTAACGGCACCAGCCATCCGGTAGAGCAAGAGGTAAAGATCAATATATTGCCTCTCAGCTTCTATTTAATTTTTACCTTTCATGTTAGGACTGAATTCTTTTTTAAGGTTAAAAACTATGATAGGACTTGGAGAGTCAAGTTGCATCTGGTTATTATGTGAAAATTTGAAGAGGGGTTTCTTTGTCAGTCAATTGCCCTCCAAACAATACTGTCCTAGAAACAATGACATTCTATGACCAACGATTCAGGATCATTCAGTAACTAGAGAGAGACAGAAATTACACTCTGTTAGCCACAGTTTGGGGGAATCCTGTAGTTCAGCAATTGGCAAAAACACTGAATCAAGGACATACTTGAAGATCAAAAATGAGGATTGGATAATTATTCTTTATTTGGAATGGAAATTTTCAAAAGAATAAGGATTTTGGAACATGAACCATTACTCTGACTGGACAGGCTTTTTTGGGAGGCCATCCATTTGTTATTCTTAAGCACTGTTTTCCTCTAACAAGGCGTAGTCATGACAATTCAGAAACACCATGAAAGGTGCATGGTACAAGGCATTTTCATTCTAGCATGGGTTGTAACTGTCAAAATCATAAAATCAATTTTATACTCTGTATGAAAAATTTTCCAGTAATTTCTCTCAACAAAATAGAAAACAAAATAATCAATAACAGAAACTTGTGAAAACAAAAACCCAAAGCTCACGCAGAGGACAAAGATACAGGTGCTAAACATGGTTCTTTAAAGCTTCTAGAACACACCGGGCAGAAGTGATGCAGCCATCGAAGTTGGACTGGGTGAACGCATCCCCTCCACACACAAGGAAAGGTTTGAGGTGAAGAGTCAACTGGCCATGGGAGTTGACGGCAGCATTTGTAACCTAAAAAGGTTAAAAACAACAACAACAACAACAACAACACAAAAGGATTGTGGTTGACATTCCCTGCCCTCTTGTGCTGTGATGTCAGCACCCACCTGAAGAAATCGCCATGTCTCACAAAACCGAGACCCCTGAGTCCCTCTCCTCACCCAAGTAGTCAGGCTGACCTTCTCAAATGTTGACATTTTCAGTTAGTTGGCAAACTTATCAGAACTTGAAAATTAGTAGGTCATGATAGGCTCAATTAGCTGGAAGTACAGTGTTTTTTTTTTATAAGGGGGAAATGGGATATTCATGAAATCATTTACCAATAATGGAGTCCCTGTGACGTGCTAGACAAGGGAAACAGAAAAGAGAGAAGGAATGTGTCCTTAAGGATTTTCCAGGTCAGCACAGAGTGTGGGCATATGACAGCAACTAAGGGCTCAGACAGGGTGAGTAAGAGGGCACTATGGGAACACCTGGGGGTACCCAACCCAGCACACCCAGATAGAGAAGCCTTCAAAGGGGAGGGGACGGGTCATATCACTTGAGTTCTGATGGGCGCGTAGGAGTTTAAGAAACAGGAATAGGGCTTTCCAAAGAGAATGAGCAGCAAGCATAAAGGCTCCATAGTCCATGGGCAAGAGAGGAAAAAGTGTGTTTTGGAAAGGGACTAATCAGAGGAAGGGACATGGCTGAGAGGCAGGCTAAGAGGCACTTAGTGTTTCGGAATTAAAATGCGTAATACTTCTAAACAAAAGTCTATTAAAAATGTAGAATTTAAAGAAGAAGATAGCAGGAGGGGAAGAATGAAGGGGAGTAAGTCGGAGGGGGAGACGAACCATGAGAGACGATGGACTCTGAAAAACAAACTGAGGGTTCTAGAGGGGAGGAGGTGGGGGATGGGTTAGCCCGGTGATGGGTATTAAGGAGGGCACGTTCTGCGTGGAGCACTGGGTGTTAAACGCAAACAATGAATCATGGGACACTACACCAAAAACTAATGATGTAATGTATGGTGATTAACATAACAATAAAAAATTTTTTAAAAATGTAGAATTTACTACTTATGAGGGGCACCTGGGTGGCTCAGTCAGTTGGTTGCCTGATTCTTGGTTTTGGCTCGGGTCAGGGTCGTGAGATCGAGCCCCATGTAGAGCTCCACGCTCAGCAGGGAGTCTGCTTGAGATTCTCTCTCTGCCCCTGCCCCGACTTGCATGCTCTCTCTCTCTAAAATAAATAAATAAATAAATCTTAAAAAAATGAATAAAAGGATTTACTATTTATGAGCCAAAGGGGAGAGAATTAGCTAAAGTTTGGGATTTATTTTATTTTATAGAACCAGGTTTATAACATTTGAAATGCTGAAAAGGCATTGAGGTTATTTCCTGGAGAAAAATATTCTCAAAATTGGGAAGGATGTTGCTAATAAACATTCGCAGCCAGAAGAATGAGCAGGCGACAGGGGTGTGTGAATACAGTCATCTTGGACATGAGACAGTTTGGCTCCTGGAGCACCAAAACCCCCTAAAAAATAAATCACACAAACTTATTATAAAGGCAATCTCGGGGCACCTGGCTGACTCAGTTGGTAGAGCATGCGACTCTTGATCTTGGGGTCATGAGTTCAAGCCCCATGTTGGGGGTAGAGTTTACTTAAAAAATAAATCAATAAAATCTCTTCCTTTATATATAAAAAAAGTCAATCTCACTTGTGGTTGCTTCCCTGCACAACTTCAGGGCATGACATTCACACAGATTACAACGTGGCGGTTCTGGTCTCTTATACAATATGTTCATGGAAAGTTATAGGCTAAGGCCCACGAGGAGTTGTTTATTTAAAAATTACCAAAAAAAATCAAGAAATGTATCAAATGCTATTTGGATTATGGGGTTGAGATTTGGTTCTAGGTAAGCTGAGTTAGTACATGCTTGGACGATCTTTTAAAACCAGAAAAAGTTTGCATAGATTTTTTTATAAGCCATATTTAGCTTTAATAAGGAGGTTAGTTACAATTATTTCTTCATTGAATCACTAAAGATATGGATGTTTAAAGTCCTGTGTCACTCAGATACGAATGTAAAATTTTAAGAGCATCCTCTCATTTTCTTGGAGGTCACTTGATCGGAGCAGCATCTTTCATACACACTGCAGATAATCTTCTTTAAAAGTTATGCCACAGGGCGCGTCTGGGTGGCTCTCTTGGTGAAGTGTCCAACTCTTGATCTCAGCTCAGGTTTTGATCCCTGGGTCTTGAGTTCAAGCCCCTCATGAGGCTCCACACCCAGCGTGGAGCCTACTTAAAAATTATACCATAGTTTTATTGTGTTCAATTGCAACTGAACACAGCTCTATTGGAGTGTAACTGACAAATAAAAATTGTATATATTTAAGGCATACAACTTGATGTTTTGATATACATATGTATACACTGTGAAATCGTCACCATAATCAAGCTAACTAATATATCATCAGCTCAGTTATCATTTTTCCTTCCTTTAATTTACTCTCCTCACTTCTCTCCCTTTCCCTTTCCCTTTCCCTTCCTTTCCCCCCCCCCCTTCTTTCTGGTGAGTCACTTTATGATCTATCGTCTTAGCGAATTTCAAGTCCACAGCACAGTACTGGTAACTAAGTCATGTCGCTGCACATTAGATCCCCGGAACAGACTTACCCCGTGTAACTGAAACTTCGTATCTTGGACCAACATCTCATTCCCCCCTCCCACCGGTTCCTAGTCTTCACCATTCTACGCTCTGCTTCTATGAGTCTGACTAGTTTAAATTCTGCATAGAAGGGAGCTCATGTAGCATTTGTCTTTCCATAGCTAATAATCTTGAAATCGGCTCACAAGATCTTTGAGTGGTTAAAACAGACAACACAGAGTGTGGACACTGAAGCACAGACTTGGGCGTTCAGTCAGAGCCTTTAAATTCCTACTTTATTTTATTTTAATTTTTAAAGATTTTACGTATTTATTTATTTGAGAGAGTGCTTGTGCAAGCAAGGGGAGGAACAGAGGGGGAGGGAGAGGGACAAGCAGGCTCCACACTCAGCGTGGAACCCGATGAGGGGCTTGATCTCACAACCCTGAGATCATGACCCGAACTGAAATCAAGAGTTGGACGCTTAGCCAACTAAGCCACCCAGGTACCCCTAAATTCCTACTTCAGACAGAATTTAAACAGGTTGGATTATTTGATTTGCCAGTGAAACACTAAGGGAAAACTGTTAGGTTCTCATGCATATTAATGATTTCAGAGTGTGATAGCTGGTAGTCTGAAAACAAGGGATGTTATATAAACACTCAAAAACCAGACAAGACTGAGCAGAAGCTTGGCAGTCTGGGACCGTTGAGTAGAGGGGCAAATCATTTTCTGACTTTTAATAGGCCATGAGGGTACCAGCTATGTTTTCCCACAATCATCAGTGCTCATGATAAGGGCCCCAATATTCAAGAACCAGTTCTAATATGCACAAAGTATTACTTGTTAGCATTTCTTGAATGTTTGCCACATACATATGCTTTACATGTGCACCCATTTAATGAACACAGCCACCCTATGAGGCTGTTACTACTATTCTCATTTTATAGAGGAGAACCCTGAGACTCAGAAAGATTGTCACCCGCCCAGGGACAGAGAGCTAGGAGGTGAAGAAACAGAGATCCGAACAGAGCACGCAGACTCCAGAACTCACCCCTCTGACACTTTCAGAAATATTTCCATGAAGACTTTATTTATTTATTTATTTATTTATTTATTTATTTATTTTTAAAGATTTCATCCATTTATTTGACAGAAAGAGACACAACGAGAGAGGGAACACAAGCAGGGAGAGCAGGAGAGGGAGAAGCAGGCTTCCCGCTGAGCAGGGAGCCCCATGCGGAGCTCGATCCCAGGACCCCGAGACCACAACCTGAGCCCAAGGCAGACGCTTAATGACTGAGCGACCCAGGCGCCCCTGAAGACTTAATTTAAATAAAACAAACAAAAATGTTTGATAGTCACTGATAGTTTTATGCATCTGAAAATTCATATAAACAGGGTAACTCATTCATATACATATACACGGATGGACATCTGTTTGATAGAAAATAATGCATGACCATATATATGTATGGTTTTTTAAAACAAAACAAAAACGTTTGATGGTCTCTTAGCTTAATGCATATAGAAAATCACATAAATGGGATAACTCATTCACATGTACTCATATATACATACACGTGTATGTCTATATAGTTTACACACACACACACACACACACACACACACATAAATCTCCATTTGTGGTAAAGTTATGACACATTCCAGTTGACATCCCTGTGCAGATAAACCATCACTACTGCACATTAACAGGTATTAAGCAGGAGGGAGCTGGAGGGAGAACGTTCTGCCCAGGGTGAGGTAACAATTTGTCGGTGCCGTGTAATTCCATTTGATGACTGGTACATGCCAGATGCTAGGTCACGTGGCTGGAAGACTGGGTTGCTGACTGGCCAAGTCTGCAGTTTGGGGAGGAAATCAATCTCACGGCATTTAGGTGGACTCCCCTTGAAGCATGCTTCAAACATGCCCTTCTTTGTCATGTTTCTGTGACTTTGAGCCAGCCGTCCTGCGGGGTGATGGTATACCATTTCCCCCTCGTCGCTGCCCTTCTAGAAGCAGCACAGATGTCACCTGCGCTGAGGTCTTCGTGCTCTGCCAGGCAGGGTAAGAGCCTTTACAGCATGTTATTTTATCTGTGATGTTACTTGCTGCTTTGCACTGGAATTACGTCCAGATTTGTCTCCCTTCCTAGACCGCATGCCTCAAAGAGCAGGAGCTGGGCTGCACCAATCCTTGTGTCCAAGGCTGGGGATGGTGCCTAACCTCTATTATGTATGCAATGAATGTTTATTGAGTTAAAAAAAAAAACAATATTGTACATGCAATTGATCAAATGAAGGTCTTCAAAGGGAACCATCTACACAAAAAATGTTATTCAGAGGCTCCCACTGAGCTGGCAGAAGCTC